GTCGGAATATAGATGAGTAAAAGGGATTGCCATTTTAGTTTCATTCAAGCTGAGTTGCAGTATTTGTGTGTTTTGTGTGCCTTCAAGTCGTTTCTGACTTATGGAGACTCTATCATGGGGTTTTCGTGGCAAGATCTGTTCAGAGGAGGTTTGCCATTGCCTCTCTGAGGCTGAGAGTATGTGACTTGCCCAAGGTGAGCCTGGAATGGAACCCTTCTTAGTCCGACACTCAAAACCAATAGCCACCCTAGCTGTAGTAGTTCTAAAATCTAAGCGATTCCTTTTTCTTTGTTGTCCTTGCCTTCAGGGTATGGGCTGGACCACTTTTAGTATTAATCATCCCCTTTATAAATGAAACATGGATCAAACTGGGATAAGATGGAAGGGTCGTTTTATTCTTTTTCTTTTCAATGTAATGCAGTTTGCTTTTGAGGGCTGAGATGATGCAGCCTAGCCAGAGGATGTGCCCACCTTAAATTCCCTATTTATCCTAGAGGGATCCTCGCTCTTTTGTAACTGCTTCTCTGGCTGCTTTCTCTCAATTGGGGAATTTGAGGATATTTCTCTGAAATTTCACAATTAAGCCTTCCTGACAAGGACACATACTTTGCTAGGAGTCCAGTGAGGATTTTTATTTATTTGGGAGGGTGGGATATACATACATGCAAGTTGAAGGTTGGAGCCAAGCTCATCGAACCTGACAAAAATTGTTTCTGAGATGGGAAAGAAATCAAGGATGTTCCTTATTTGACTGCTTTCTGGTGCCTTTGCTTGTTAGCAAGCTCCCTTGAATTCAAGGGGACTTGCTCCCGAGTAATCCACGCACAAGATCCGGATCAAGAACCTTTCCCATAGTCCAGTTTACTCCAGAGTAGTTCTGTCGCAGCCTACGGGGGTTTTTCTTTTGAGAAACTGGATTGCAAAGGATTAAACATTATTTTTCCTGTGGTAAAACTTTTCAAGTGCGTCGCTTGGGGCGCGATCCCAGCTTCCTTTTTTTGGGTTGGATGACACGGATAAGCTTTTCAACAAAAGGTTGCATCTGCACTGCAGAAATAACCCGGTTTGACACCACTTTAGCTGCAGTGGCTCCATACTATGGAATCCTGGGAAGTGGAGTTTGTTGCAGCACAGAAACTCTACTTCCCAGAATTCCATAACATGGAGCCACGGTAGTTAAAGTGGTGTCAAACCGGGTCATTTCTGCAGTGCAGATGCAGCCTTAAAGGAAGAAATTCCACTAGTGGGAGTAACGTGTGTGGAAAAGGATCGGGCTGAAAAAGCGAAACTAAACAAGGTCAGACGCAGGGAAACCTTTCGCTGAAAAAGAACCGCATCCTAAATACTCCCTTCCATTCCTTGCATTTTCATTTTCCGATGGCTGTCAAAGTAGTAGTAGTAGTAGTAGTAATAATAGTGTGCCTTCAAGTCAGTGAGCCTAAAAGGTTCATAGGGTTTTAGGCAAGTTTCTTCACTGTGCTCCCTTTGGCTTCCTCTGAGGTTGAGAGCGTGTGATTTGGCCAAGGTCACCCAGATTTCCATAGCCAGACTAGGATTCGAACCCTGGTCTCCAGAATCCTGCTCCAGCGCTCAAATCACTATACCACGCTGTCTCTAAATCCTGTAGATAACCCCAGTTTGAGTAGACTCATAGAAACCAACTGTTGTGGAGTCAACCCCGAGGTAAATCCCATTGGTTCAATAGGTATACTCTAATATTACCACTAGGATTGAGACACTTGCTGGCTGCAACATTCAACAGGGTGTAACACTGGTTCCCAAACTTTGGTCTTCCAAGTGTTTTGGACTTCAACTCCTAGAAGCCTCAGCCAGTTTGGATGAAAATTCAGGGATTCTGGGAGCAGAAGTCCAAAACATCTAGAGGACCAAAGTTTGGGAGCCATTGGGAAGGTAGGGTTCGCTTACTACTGAGTAGACCCGTATAGGATTGCAGTAACGATGCTCAAACCTTGTTCTTCCAGAATATATTTTGAACTTCACCTCCCAGAAGCCTCAGCCAGCTTGGCCAACAGTCAGGAATTCTGGGAGTTGAAGTCCAAAACCATCTGGAGTACCAAAAAGTTTTGTAAACCACTGCATGAAACCCTCCCTCACTGCCCCCCTCCCGCTATCTAATAACCTTAAACTCCTTGGGAGAGCAGATTTTCCTCCTTAAGTTTTGGTCTTAATCTCTCTTTAAACGATCCCCTAGAAGAGGGAGCGATCAATCCGGTGCCGGTTTTGGGATCCAAGAGGAGAGAGAGAGAGAGAGAGAGAGAGGAAACGATGGATCCTCTTCCCTGGGCGGTTCTTCCTCGCCTTTTTTCCTCCCCGAGGGAAACCGAAGCAAACTTTTGCACACTTCTTTCTTTTTTCCCTAAGGCCGAGGTGGATGCCAGCCCAGTCTGAAGTCCGCCCACAACTCTCTCTGTGTGAGTGTGTGTGTGGATGATGGGGAGGATGCTGGTCTCCTCCGTGTTGTAAGTGATCTGGCCTGTTGGACCGGTTCCGCCAGCGAGGAAGGGAGCGCATCGCTCGCCTCCTGCCATGCGGGGAAGCGATGAGGTAGGACTTTTTTTGGGGGGGGGGGAATTGGCAGAAAGTGGGTGATCCCTTGGGGTTGGGACCATGACCCCAATGCAAATCTCTGCCATTCCCTCCCCCCAGGTTGAAAAACTGCGGGGAAGAAATGGGTTCAGGGTTTGTTTCAAAAGGGTTTGTAAAGGCTGCCCTGTTACAACTGGGAAAGTTTTCTCTTTCTCTTTCCTGACTCCGGTTTTACCGATCATCCACTCCCCTCTCTCTCTAGGGCGACTAGGCATCCTCCTTTTCTAGGACCTTTGGGGGGGCAATCAGCTCACAGTTGTAAACCGCTTAGACACCCCATAGCGTGGTATGAAGCGGTATATAAATGAAGCTGCTTTGGAATTCCCAAGCGCTCCTTTTCTCAAACCCTCGCTTTTGAGTAGGACTAAGAAGCATGGATTTGTATTTATTTCTATGAGTCTTTCTAGCTTTTCATTTGGTAACGTTCTTCCTACACTTTTGTCTTGTCTTGAATGCCCTACAGTTTTGGCGGAGCCTTGTGAGGACATCTGCCCACTCTGTCTAATGCTTTTTTTAAAATGATCTAAAAAGGAAGAGAAAGCAATGGTGGTTTCCAAGGTCCCATTCGACCCGGTGAAGTTACTAAACGCGCTCTTATTTTGCCCTTATTCTCTGGGTGTGAGATTAACAAAAGGGAAATCTTTCCTTTCTACCACGAGTGGGAAATCAGGGGTTCTGGGGTCTCTGGTGTGCAAGGGATTTGAGTGGAAATTAATACGGGTTTAGAGAGAGAGAGAGGGATGTATATGTATGTATGTATGTATGTATGTATGTGCATATGTGTATGTGTGTGTATGTGTGTGTGTGGTGTATGTTTGTTTGTGTATGCATGTATATATGAGTATATAATGCTTTGCAAGCTTTCCTTTGCGCACTTCGACATAGCGCCTGTGTCATTTACTCCCTCGTAGCCACGCTCTCTCAGCCTCAGAGGATGGCCATGACAGAGCCCCTCTGAAGAAACTTGCCAGCTCGCCTTAGGGTCTCCTTAAGTCTGAAACGACTTGAAGGCACACAAATAGCATCACAACCCCCCCCTCCTTAAACTAGTTGGGGTGGTTGGTAAAAGCCGTTTAAAGGAAATGGAGAGGGGGGGGGTTGACTTCCTGGCGAATGTGTTTACAATTGGAGTCTAAGCCATTTTGCACTTGGGAGTTTTTCGGCTTGCATCAATAGGGAGAATCCCGTACCTGGGCTGCGATCCACAAGCCTCTTAACCTTATAGGCGGATGGGTGGCTAAAGGGCAGTTGAGCAGCCTGGCCTTCTAACTTCTGTATTAGGCATGTGAGCAGCAGGTTTTGTTGTTGTGTGCCTCCCAGTCATTTCCGACTTGTGGTGGTGATTCTTAAGCAAGCCTATCACAGGGTTTTCTTGGCAAGTTTCTTCAGAAGAGCCATCACCACCTTCTGAGGCTGAGAGAGCATGACTTGCTCATCCAGTGGGTTTTCTTAGCCTAGAGAGGCTCTTAAGTGTCTGATTTACTCGTAAGTAAGTCCTACTGAGGGCTGGTATGGAGAAATTGGAGAGGCCAGCCTGGCACTACTAAATTCTAGACCTGCCTACTGGGAAGTAACTCCCACTTACCTGTAATTCAAAATCCACAAGACAGTGATCCCTTTATTGTCTAACCAAAATGCACAAAATACATGGTGCAAGCTTTCGAAGCTCTACTGGTTTCTTCATCAGTGAGCTTCGAAAGCTTGTTTTGTGCATTTTGATTGGCCAAGAAAAGTGGCACTCCTTTGTGGATTTTGCTACATGGCCAATAGGGCTACTTATCGAAGGGTTGTCTGGAGTTGAGAGAGTGTGATTTGGCCCAAGGGGAATCAAATTAGTTGTCCAACACTCAAACCATGTCACAGTGTCTTTCCAATGATCTTTAAATTGCTAACTAAATAGACTTGAGGCTGTGAGGGCATGTTAATTCTGATCAGTCCAATCCTGAATGGATCTTTTTTAAGGGGAAAAATACCATTTTGGTGTGTGAGTGAAAGGCAGCGAAAGTGAGGTTTAAGGACGCATGAATTCACTCTTATGCCTGCTTTGCCATTATCTTTTCCTCGAAAGCAAGCCCTATCAAGTGCAGCGTAAGTGGTAAGAAAGATGCCACCCTTGATATGTCTTTATACAGGTACTTTAAGAAGGAAAAGAGCCAGGTGGTTTGAAAATTGTGCAAGCACCCCCCCCCCCATGAAAATCCCTACCCTCCCTTTGATGCAAAACTCAAAATTGAAAGGCAAGCGCAGCTTTTTTCTTGGTGAATGGTGTCAGTGGATTTTCTTTCCGGCCAGGTACAACACTATTCCGGGGTTTTCTTGTCAAGATTTGTTCAGTTTGCCATTGCCTTCCCTTGAGGCTGAGAGAGCGTGACTTGCCCAAGGTCAGATTTCCATGGCTGAACTGGGAATCGAACCCTGGCCCTCCAGAGTTGTAGTCCAACGCTCAAACTACTATGCCATGCTGGCTTACTAAGGAGTAAATTGTGCCTTAAAGGTCCCCATCCTTTCCCTCTCCTTTGGTCGTCCAGTTTTGGATCCCTTTGTGGCGGTCTTTCCCAGCTTGGAGCTGCTGCGCCGTTTGAGGGGGGGTGTCCCATGGCAAGCCCCTCTTTATCCTTTGATTAACCGGCCCTCTTGCTATAAGAAGATGAGAGGAAGAAGCTGTTTCAACCTCTTTCCACCCCCCACTCCCCAATTATTCACCCGATGGAGAACTTCAAAATTTGGATTTAACGAAGTCATAAATCAATTAATCCTGTATTGAAAAGGGGCCTTCAAAGAATTAGGCTGGGCTTCTAAAAGGCGTCCTTCAAAACATACCAAACCCTAATCCTTAAAAACATCAGTGGTTTTTTTATATTTGCTTTAAGGTGTGTGGGTTGTTTTTTTTGGGGGGGGGGGAAGAAACAAATCTTGATAATAATCTCCCCTCTTTTCTTAATAGTCCCCTGGGCAGCAAATGCGATTAACTTTCAATAGCCAGGAGGAGAGGGCAGTTTGAAAACTGAGACAGGAGTGTGGAAACTTTTTTCAAAGTGAGATTTGAATTTGAACTGGAAGTGAAGTCAAACATTTGGGGGTGGGGGAAAAAAGAAGACACCCTAAACTTTATTAATCTCCAGACCCCTTTCTTAAAAATAACTTATTTTCAACAGCATCAAAAGGAACACACTCCATCTCTCTCTTAATTGAGCTATCTTTTCCCATTCTGAATCCCCATAGGAACAAAAAGAAAATATTTAAGTTTTCCAAATTTTATAATGAATTGGAAGTTTTTCCTCTTCCACAGTATTGAACAAATTGCATTTTTAATGTTACCCCATTCCCTTCAACTTAAACTGAACAGTGCAGCTCTGATGAACATGTTTTGTTGAAAAGTAACTGGGATTTAAGTAAATAAGGTGTATTTCCAAGGAAATGTACTTTGATCTTGTGTGTGTGTGTGTGTGTGTGTGTGTGAGAAATCCTGAAGCAGTCTTGTGTATACCTGTCCTTGAACTTGGTGATACCTACCTCTGAGTAAACAGAGGGTTGTAATGCTTGTCAAGTGTAGTGACTGGCTATAGTAGCTGTAAAAACACTTCAATACAAGCAATTTGGTTTAGGATCAAAGATCCTGCTTGACACTGGAGATTAAGGTTTTGATGGAATTGTTTGTTTGTGAATGAGGCATTTTGCAATGGGTGTGATTTCAATTGTTTCCCCAAACTATTGGGATAAGTATTGCCAATAGGTTCCTTGGTTTTAATTTGAACTGAAGTTGATGTATATTGAAGAGCAAGGGTCCAAAACACACTGCAGAAATAATCCAGTTTTGCTCAGAGCTAGAGGATCCTAGGGAATGTAGTTTATTGTGACACCAGAGCGCTCTGACAGAGAAGGCTAAATGTCTCAGTTCTCAGAAATCCATAGCACTGAGCCAGGGCAGTTAAAGTGGTTTCAAACTGGATTATTTCTGCAGTGTGTTTTGGACCAAGGTTGGCAATTTCAGTATAAAATTTTATTGATGTCCAGCACCTTCCAGTATAACACCCTCATCATCCTGATAGTGTTAGGCTGTAGTGTTCAAATAGCTAATCCCCAAAACAGATGAATTGATTTCAAACAGAAGAGTGCAAGTATTACTTGGAAAATGAGTCTTAAAAAGCTGTATTTCATTTTTTGGATGCTTTCAAACGAACTTAATTTTGATTGTTGGAACAGCTTCAGTTTGCATCTTGTGAGGACTGAAATGCCTGCATTCTTAGCAAATTCTTAAATGGAAGTTAATCAGACTTGTTCAACAGTCTAGAATGTTTTCTTGGATGTTGACTCCTAGAATTCCCCAGCCCACATGGTAATTGGCTGTGAGGAACCTCTGGGAATTGATGGTCCAAGAAAGAAACTTGCAAGTCCACTGTCATTATGTTTTGAAAAGGTAAACAGGGCTCAGAAGTGATGTGATACGGGGATGCATTAAATACAGTTTATGGCTCTAAATTTGGGGTATAAGTGAGGTGTAGTGTCAGCATGCAAATGTAAGTAGATAAATAGGTACCACTTCAGAGGGAAGGTAAAATTCTGTGCATCATACTGGCCACATGATCACAGAGTAGTCTCTGACAATGCTGGCTCTTGGCTTAGTAATGGAGATGAGCATCGGACATGACTTGAGGGAATACTTTACCTTTACATTTAGTGTCAATATTATGGAATCTTGGAAGGGAACACAAAAGAGATCTTGTCCAACTTCCAGCCATGCAGGAACACACAACTAAAGGAGTCCTGAAAGATACCCATCCAAATTCTGTTTAAAGACCCCCAAAGAAGGGAGGTAAAAGAAACCTCCCCTCTTTCTCAAGTATCTTTTTCAGGTTGATATTGATCATTATACTAGGAATGGCTAACCATTGGAAGGTTGGGGTATGTGTGGTTTTCCCCCCAGGTTGATATTGATCATATATATTAGGAATAGCTAACCATTGGAAGGTGGGGGGGGCTGTGTTGGCTGCCCTGGAGGGGTGGAAAAAAGACCTCTATTGGGGGAGAAGAAAATTACTCTGGATCACACTTCCCCCAGCCCCTATCTGCTCCCCCATTTCCCCCTGCTCCTCTCTCCTTAAATATATGCTCAAGGATCACTCACACTGATGTATGATCTTTCTTTCTGCAGGACCGGCATGATGGCAGCAGCAATGGGAACCCCAGACTGCCTCATCTCTCAGCCGTCAGCCAGCACTTATATAGTCCAGCTCCCCCTCTTTCCCACTCAGGGGCTTCGGATTTTCAACCCCCTTACTTCCCTCCTCCTTACCAGCCTCTGCCTTACTCTCAGTCCAGTGATCCATACTCACACCTTGGGGATCCGTTTTCCATCAATCCTCTCCACCAGCCTCCGCCACCACCTCCCAGCCAGCAACAAAACAGCTGGCCCAACCGCCAGACCAACCAAGATCCTTCCAATCTGTCTCATCATGCCCGTTCAGGCTTGGTCCCTCATCTCCCAGCTCTGGAAAGTGGCTCTGCTGGGGTGAGGAGAGAAACCTACAGGCGATCAGAGCTGCTCCTGCCTCATGGCCATGGTCTCGATGCCTCCAGCATAGCAGAAAACCTTGGACTACATGAAATGGCCCATCAGATGGAAGAAGTGCAGGTAAAAAATTGTGGGTTGGACAGGATTGACACAGTGAGGAAAGAAAGCCCATATAGGCCAGGTGAGGTCTTGGAAGAGTTTCTCCTTTGGATCTACAATTCTGAGCACCCCTCAGCCAGCATGGATGCTCATTGTGGAATTCTGTGAGTTTTAGATCCAAAAAAGAGGGAAAATTTGCCTGCCTGCCAAAGCCATCCTGATTTTGGAGTGGTAGCTTTTATTTCAAGACACATAGTTGTATAATCTGTACATTATGAACTAGGCACTCTCAGTCTAGTTGACATTATCACAGCCCCCTTCCTCAAACCTGTACTACAGCCCCCATATGCTGGCTGAGGATCATGAGTCTTATAGAAATTTGCCCTTGCACTATGTACAGTACATAATATGACTGAATGCCTAGGGAATGCCTAGCCATGTGCTTCATTTATTCTGTTCCGCATTTAGCATTCCATTGTTACCTTGACTTCCACTGCTCAGTCTACCCAGACAGTTGTGTGTAGATCTATTTCCTAGTGAAAGGAACTTTCCATACTTTTAGTATAACAATTTGTATTATCTCCATATTGCTGTCTGGAGAAGTTTTCCTAGTGAGTTCATACATGTCTTTTCCATTGAGTAACTTCCATTGAGTTCAATAGGGCTTGCACCCAGAGTTGTATAAAGGATTTTAGGCTTAGATGTTACTCCAGACCAAATCTTCTAAGCAGAATTTAGGAAAGTTATGGCTAAAAGTCCCTAGGAGTTCCCCATTTAGTCAGTGGCCATAAAAAAGTAACTTTTCCAAACTTTAGAACTAAGGTACTTGGAACAGAGGTTCCATTTTGTAAAGATTAAAATCACAACCATCATCAACCTTCCACAACATGATGTGTTGGGCTATAACTTCCATTAGCTGTGTTGGACTACAACTTCCATTAGCCACAGCAAACACAGCCATGGGCGATAATGGGAACTGTAGCCCAAAATGTCAGGAAGATATCAGGGTAGGGTAGGCAATTCTACATCCTTAGAGCCAAGTGATCAAGCTCCTTCTTTCTAAATCTACAAATTATTGCTATCTTTAACAGTGCATACAGAATATTTCCTAAAACTAGATTAAATGGGAACCATAGGGAAAATGGATGGACCCTTCTACAAAGCCTTAGAGATCAGATGTTATTTCTGTATTTCCCTTCTCCAAGCTGAATGCTCCTGATAAGTTTGTTTGCTTAGATCTTGTTATGACATTTAAACTCTTTGGCACACCTCAGCACTAGCAGCCTTGGGTGAAGTTCAGCTGATGCTCAAGGTGTATTCAGTCCCATCAGTGGGGCTTACATGACACTTAGGTTCATGAGCTACAACCCTAGGCCTAAACTCATTTGCTAGTGCCAACTAGAATCAACCCATTAAATTAATTATTGAACAGCAATTCAACATTTATGTTAATTTCATGAGTTCAATAATGAAGATAATGAACAATTGGTTTTAAACTCTAAATGTACAGTTCAGTGGACTTTTAATTTTAAGGAAACATAAAAGGGGATACACACATAATGAATCAAAAGGAAATCCTACTGGTTTCACTAGGGCATATTTCCACAGTATGTAGGCACACGAAGTAGCGGTACCACATGAGTACAAATTGTGCAGAGCCAATTACTGCTGGATCAGGTCCACTGCATGGAAGTCCTGCTGAAATGAAAAGCTGTTCCTTGCAATTAATATGTTAAGGGTTGGGGTTTATAAGGTAGTCTTCTTGCTTGTGTCAAGATTCACCAGGGAAAAGATCATATGCGTGTGTCTCTCTGTGTGTGGTGGGGAGGTGGGGTATACATCTTGTTCTACAACT